TGGTGTGCTTTCTTAGTCAAATGACAACTGCTTTTTGTCCTCTACCAAAAAGGATGCCTATGGAGAGATAAACCATCCAACTCTGAAAGGCAGGAAAGGTGGAGTGAAACCATGAGGCTGGAGATAAGGGAAAAGGAAGAACAAGGGGTATTTGCCCAGTGCCCTCCTACGGCGTAGGCTCTAAATGGTGCTGGGCTTAGTTAGCACTGTGCCTCCGTCCTTGGCTAAAACACCCTTGTTTGGTCACCCTGCCCCGCACTTTGGACACTTTTTGTTTCTTTAGCCACATTTAGAAGCTCCTATTTTGTACCGGCCTCCATGTCACGTGTTTTTTTGTGACCTGGCCCTTGATGATTTCTCCACCTGCAGTCTATGTTGGCCCCTGGCAAGTTGATTAGCTGCCCAGGTATTCGCCACTCTCTCCACATCGTCGCCTTCGTTGCCTCTTCTTGGAACATAAATGAACAGTAATCTGCAGGATGGTTGTTTTCACGTCTTTAGATTTCAGCTAAGGTGTAATTTCACGCAGTAGAGGTCTTCTGTTTCTATTGTAAATAGTAAATACTTCCTTATTGCTCTCTGTCAGGCACTGACTTAACCACTTTGGAAAAACTCACCACGCACAGATGTTTCTCTTCTGCCTCACTTTAATTGTTTCTGACTGGTATTCATTTGTATCACATCCTCTCCTTAAAATGTAAGCACCATGAGGCCAGGGGGAATAAGAAACTTGGCAGAGGATGTATCCGAGGAATTGTCCCTGTCACAAAATGGAAGTCAATGCATATTTGACTGAGTGAATGCATGCAAGACATTTAAGTCACAGTCCTTGCTATCAGAACCTCCTAATCCATTGCAGACGGAGTTACTAGAAGAGGAGACAATGAGCTAAGTGTCTGAGAGATGTAAACCAGAGATCCATGGATGCCCAGTGGGAAGGGGGGGGGGGGCAGAAACCAGACCTGGGAAGTCAGAGGTAAAGGTGCAAAACTGACCTCAAAAGACTCAGCCTGACCTGAATTTCCAAGGAGCACAGGACTCAGGAATAATAACATAGCTCACAATTTAACGTTAGAAGTATTGTGACAGATTGGATTGTGTCCCACCTCCCCAAATTCCTAAGCCAAAGCCCTAACTAATCCCAAAGGCAATTCTATTTGGAATGAAGGCCTTTTGGTGTCATTTAAGGTTAAATGAGGTGACAAAGGTGTGGCCTTAATCTTCTAGAACTGATGGCCTTATAAGAAAAGGAGCTAGCGCTCTCTCTCTCTCTCTCTCTCTCTCTCTGCTTGCTCAGAGGAAAGGCCATGTGAGGACAAGTGGCTGTTTGCAAGTCAGGAAGGGAAGTCTCACCAGAAACCAACCCCTCCAGACCTTGATCTGGGACTTCCAGCTTGCAGAACCGTGAGAAATAAATTTCTGTTGCTTAGCTGCCCTGCGGTGCTGTGATGTGGCTGCCTGAGCTGACTAGTACAACTATGAACAGGAGAGATTTCTTAATTAAAGTTTCTCCGGTAAAATTTCTTAATCCGTGCTGAGCGTGAATAAGCTTTTTTTCTCCACGTCTTTTCACTTCCTCTCTTACTACACCTCACTCTGGAGATTTAAATCATCTCTCCTACATACTGTTATACTATAACTTGCCTCAAATATCATTTGGAAATGATGAGGTTATTTATAAATAAGTAGATAGTGATAAAGCTTTCCTGGGCGAAATACCAGCAGTCAGCAATTTATATACATATTAGCATTTTTAGTTAAAGGAGAAGAATATTCATTGATTGCTGCCTCTCTGTCTTCAGTTTGCTTCCTGCCTCTGGCAATATTAAACCTGTATCTTTAGACCTGCTCTCATGAGAATTTATTTGAATTGGGTGGGCAGCTGGGTTCTGACTCCCTCCTTTGTTGTGCCTTTCTACACCTTTCTACACCTACCTGGCTACTTAACAGTTAGCACTGGGGCAGCTGGATGGCTCAGTCAGTTAAATGTCTGACTTTGGATTTCGACTCAGGTCATGATCTCACTCTTCATGAGATCAAGCCCCGTGCATTGGGCACTGCACTGGCCATGTGGAGCCTGCTTGAGATTCTTTCTATCTCTCTCTCTCTGTCTTTCTCTGCCCCTCCCCTGCTCACGCTTGCTCCCTCTTTCTCTCAAAATAAATAAATAAAGTTAAAAAAAAAAAAGCATTTAGCATTAGTGTTGTTTGGCTTCTAAATCTAAATCACCGTGCACTAATACCCAGAGGTCTGGGACAGTGCCATATTTCCCAAACGACAGTCGCGAAATCTGCATCTCAGTGACACAATCAGGAGGCAAAAGAGTAGGATTCCTCTATATGGGCTTCAAAAACATAACCGATGAGGAATCTCGTAGTGTAATCCCTTTTATAGAGAAAGCCAAGAATTTACAACATCAGGTCATGTCTTCAGGTCAACTAAGGAGACGGTAACAGACGAAAGGGTAACTTTCCCTAACGTTTTTCTATCATTGCTTCAATGTGTTTTGTTTTGTTTTGTTTTGTTTTAATTTTTAGGAGCTCGACTTCTATAGGTAATTCGTTCCATAACCGGTGGAAAGAACACAGATTTGCAGGCAGAAGACGTCAATAACCAGCTCTACCTGCATGGGTTATTTAATCATGCTCGGTCTTATTTTCCATAGCTAGAAAGAGAAGATGCTTATCATACCTTCTGGAATGGATGAAGCAATGCATGAGATAATACATGTAGCCAGCACACAGAAAATACTCAAAAATGATCCTATAGCTGGAATGGTGTGACTTCTTAATATAGTATGGTATTGGGATGCTTAATTTTATGTGTCAGCCTGGCGGGGCCACACTGCCCGGACACGTGGTGAAACTTTCTTCTGAACGTTTCAGTGCGGATGTATTTGAATGAGATCGGCATTTTAATCAGTGCCCTTTGAGTAGAGCAGATTGCCCTCCAAAATGGCTGTGGGCCTTATCTAATCAGGTAAAGTCTTGAATAGAACAAAAGCCCCACCTGCCCCAAGGAAAAGGAATTCTACCCACAGACAGCCTGGGAATTTGAACTACAGGTTTTGGATTTGCCAGCCTCTGTAATTATGTGAGCTCATTTCTTAAAAACATTTCTCTCTCGTAATGTATCTACACACCTCCTCCCGGTTCTATTTCACTGGAGAACACTGAGTAATACCTATAGGACTTTATTTATTTAAGCTCTGATGATATATGTATCAAATACTTAATGTGTACCATGCACAAATCCAGGCAACAGAGATAGAATGACACATAAAATGGGCCTCATGGAACTTAGACACTGGAGTGGGATAGATGCAAATAACACAATGGGTAGGTTCATGTAGTAGCCAAGTGCTGAAAATTAAGAGAAACAGGGAGGGATGATAGCGAATGCCTAGGGATGAAATACCAAAACAGAACGTCCTTTATTTGTCCCTACATATTTGCTTATCTCTATGCTACCCTCTGTTTGGAAGAAAGCTGACTCCGGGAGGTTACATCATAGGTTCCCCTGGCTTTCTTGACCATTTGGCCTCCTGTAGAGATTGGAGGAGGGAGGAAAGTCAAATCAGAATATTTGTCTCCTCTGCTCCCTCTCTGCAGGGTCACCTTGGGCTGACTCTGTACGAAGGTTAATTTTCCTAGGACTCTACACTCCTCTTCTTCATTCTGGCTTCTGGTCACCACCACTACTAAGGGATCCTGATATATCTCTCCCTTGTGGTTCTCCTATACCTACATGGTCATAAATAGTCTCCTTGACAATAAATTGTCAAATTACCCTGTCCTGAGTGTGCCATCTGTTTTCTGTTGGTATCTGACTGATACAAAGCCATCACAGTCCCCGTGAAGGGTGATACTCAGCTGAGCCCAGCATACTGAGAAGTGGGCTCTGTGAACATTTTCAGAACACTTCGAGTAGGAAGAACCGTGGAAACTTACCCAGAGACAGGAACAGATATGATATGTGAAGAGCAGGAAGAGGGTCAATGTGGCTGGTGTGTTCAGTGATGGAGAGTGTGGGAAGAGGTCAGGAAAGGTAGATTGTGGCATATATATCAGCTGGAGTAAATGAGATTAAAGCCTTTGAAGTGTTTTAAGTAGAGGAGTAGAACAATATGAGGAGTTCTTTTTATGGTAGAAGACCTCTGCCATGGGCTGAATGGAAGGCTCCCAACATATATGTCCACCTTGATCCTGGACACCTGTGAATGTGAACTTATTTGGACAAAGAGCCTTTGTGGGTATAATGACACGAGGGATCTTAAGATGAGATTATCTTTGATTACTCATGTGGGCCCTGAATCCAATAACAAGTATCTTTAGAAGAGAAAGGAAGGGAGAGACATGAGATACACAGAAGAGAAGACAGGGAAGACGACGTGAACTTGGGAGCAGAGATCAGTATGACAGGCCAGGAGTTGCAGAAGCCAAGGATTTCCCAGAGCACCCAAAGTTGGAAGAGGGAAGGAGGGAGGGATTCTTCTTTACGTCTTCAAGTTTATCACATCTTCCCCAAAGCTCGATTTCAGACTTTCAGATTTCAGACTCCAAAATGGGGAGGATACTGGAGTCTGAGTAACTCCGTTGGTTAAGCGTCCAACTTTGGCTTAGGTCACAATCTCATGGTTCATGAGTTTGAGCACCACGTCGGGGTCTGTGCTGGAGCCTGCTTCAGATTCTGCGTCTTGCTCTCTCTCTCTCTCTCTCTCTCTCTGCTCTCCCCTGCTTGTGCTCAGTCTTTCTTTCTCAAAAATAAATAAACATTATTTTTTTTTTTTAAACTGGGATGATAAATTCCTGGTATTTTAAGCAACACCATTTGTGGTGATAGGTTTCAACAGCCCCAGGAAGCTAATACTAGAAACTCCATGTCACTCCCTCTGTACTGCTTGTTCTTTGGGTCGGTCTCCCTAGAGCTTCTGTGTTCAGTTCCCCAGAGCTTCTAGAACTCTAGCTAACAAGCTGTTGAACTTTGGTTTCATCTTGCAGAATCCCAGAAAACAAATGAACCAACGAATCAACCAGCTTGGTTATACTAACCAGCAAAGTATAAAACAGCCACAAAGACAAACTCCTGAGTGTCATCGTTTTTCTTAGAAAGCTCGGGGCGCCTGGGTGGCGCAGTCGGTTAAGCGGCCGACTTCAGCCAGGTCACGATCTCGCGGTCCGTGAGTTCGAGCCCCGCGTCGGGCTCTGGGCTGACGGCTCGGAGCCTGGAGCCTGTTTCCGATTCTGTGTCTCCCTCTCTCTCCGTCCCTCCCCCGTTCATGCTCTGTCTCTCTCTGTCCCAAAAATAAATAAACGTTGAAAAAAAAAAATTAAAAAAAAAAAGAAAGCTAACCTGACTATTTTAGAATGACTCATAAAAGGACAGTGGACTAAAAACATATATAAACGCCAAATTGTATAATGATGCGGTGAAATATATCTGTAAGATACAGAAAGATACTTTAAAGTTTTGATTAAATGCTATGTAAATATTGTCTGAAAAGTGTCTTTACAATCTGATCTGTTTTAAGGAAAATTCAACTGGAAATTACAGATGATTCACGGTGGCTGTGCTGTGTCCAGGAAAGAGGTAAAACTCCAGCAGGAATCTGGTCTACAACACAAGACCAGTGAATTCATGTGCATTTATAGTTTCAAGTTAAAATAACATGTATTTGCAAGCTATCTGTGTATCATTTCAGTCATTTTCTCACATTAACAAAAGATTTGGGGGGCACCTGGGTGGCTCAGCCAGTCGTTTAAGCGTCGGACTCTTGATTTGGGCTCAGGTCATGATCTCACAGTCGCTGAGTTCGAGCCCTCTGTTGGGTCCTGCACGGACAGTGCAGGGCCTCCTTGGGATTCTCTCTCTCCATCTCTTCTCTGCCTCATCCCCACTCTCACTCTCATGCTCTCTCTCTCAAAATAACTAAGTAAACATTTAAAAAAATAAAAGATTTTTGGGATGCCTGGGTGGTTCAGTCGGTTAAGTGTCCACTCGTGATTTTGTCCCAGGTCAGGAGCTCATGGTTTGTGAGTTTGAGCCCCAGTTGGTCTCTGTGCTGACAGTGTGGAGCCTGATTGGGATTCTCTATCTCCCTCTCTATCTGCCTCTGTCTCTCTCTCTCTCTCTCTCCCTTTCTTTCAATAAATCAATAAGTAAATAAATAAATATTAGAAAAAATATTTTTCATAAATTGACAAATATTACTTCTTAAAGAAGTCTTGTCCTCCATCAGGTGCTGACAGAATATTGGGTTATGAACACTTAGGGATTTTTTTATCGTGAAATGCACCGCAATTTTTTATTCTTGCCTCTTTTTTTCCCCAAATTACCACCCTTAGTTTTCGTCAAGAGGAAAGACACCGATCTGCCTTAATGTTGGTAGAGTCTGGCACCTACCATGTTGCCTGATGCAAAGTAAGCCCCGGCAAGAGTTGTTGCTTTAAATTGATTTGGTTATTAGCCACCGGTTTGTTAATTCAGTGATTGCCCAGTTGTGACACAGTTGGTTTCAGCAAAGGCTTCCTGATCTTTCTTCAGTCGATTTAAAAACGGCTCAAGTCAGAGCCAAGGCTAATGAACAAGAGGTGAGATCTGGTTAAGGAAACGCTGATTTTAATTAGGCAGTAAGGAACTCTAAAACAGGAGGGCAACACATCCTGCTTGTGAAAACTGAATGTCATGGTGACTTGAAGTCATCAAAATTTAACCGTGGATGCAAATAGGTATTTGCTCTTCCCCACTAAGTTCCTAGAGACAAAGAGTTGCCCCTATTTATTTAATAAATAAATAGAAGTCTGTTGAGTACTTACTACTTGTCAGGTGCCGGGAAAGTAAATGCCAAGGGTCATTTTATTTAATCATTTTAAAAAACCTTGAGCATGTCGAAGAAGCATGGACTATGGGACTGGGAAAGTCAGCTGGGGATTTCACCCCCAATACAGTGAAGTGTACTGAGCTCAGAGCGTGTGCTGGTCACTGTCCTAAGCAATTGACTTGGATTTCCATTTCATTCCTCACAACGTCTCCACGAGGGAGAAAATTTCATTGTACCGTGTTCCATGAGAAAACATGGCCAATAGTAACAAATACTTACTTCTTAGATCTAATAAGTGACAGAGTCTTGACTTGAACCTGGCCAGGCTCCAGGGCTTGGGTTTGCATGTCTGGTCTTCCTCTGGGGTTTTAGTTTCATCCTGTTCCTATGCGGTTTATACTTAGTTTCTCAGTTTCCTCAAATGGAAATTTGAACAAGAAGCAAGAATTTGCAAATTAAAGCACCTTGTGCCTCAGGCCAGTGAGTAAGTGGCAATATTCTGCCAAGTCCATTGTACTGTGATGGTTCAATCTTTGCATTCCTGGGAGAATAGCCCCGTATTGGGAATGTAGTACGTGCTCAGTAAACACTTAGGAGAGCCAACTATTTAAAACTGTTCTGGTTTTCCAATCCAGGAATTTTTATGTCATTTACACTCATATGCATTCATATATTCTGAGGTTTGCTCAAAACTGCTTTGTAGTTTTACTGAATATATGCAAATTTATTAGAAAGACGAGACTTCGAAGTCAATCTTCAGCCACAGCTGACATTTATGTTGTCACAATATTTACCTTATCCTTTTAGGTTACAGTAGGTTTTTCATCCTTTCTGTTTTAAAAACAAAGCGCAATAACATGAAATCAAGATATAATCTCTGTCTAGATGAAGGCAAGGCCCTACACCTCTAAGGCCTTCTATTTCTGGCCACTCAGCCTCATTTCCAAGCTGTATCACTAAATTTCAGAGTCCTAGACAAAAGATTAAGGACTAAAGGGAAAGCCTTAAAGATACAGAAGAACAGAGAGTATTTTTTAAAATGACAAATTGGATAATTTAGTAGAGAAAAACAAACCTTGAATACAAAGGCAAAGACTGAAATACCAGAGAAATAAAACACACACACACACACACACACACACACACACACACTTTCAAAAGCACCTATAAAAATCAATGTACAAACCTATGAATTAATAATAACAAGAAATTTTTTATTCATGATCATTTTTAATAGCTAAATTATTCATAACTGTGTTTCCAATGTGGGACTTAGTGAGCTTAAGTAACATTCAAAGCATACAACTATTCATCATTCATTCTTCCTTCCTTCATCAATAAGTATTGAATACCCACCTATACTAGACAGAGTTAACTCAGGCAAAGAGCATTTGTGTGTTTGTTGGTGTGATTTGGGTTGTCTGGAGCAAGGGTCTGCAAAATGGGCGTGTGTGCCATAAGTAGTATTTAGCATGCTGATGAGCACAAGAAATCTTGCTTGACATGCCAGACGCTCTGATTAGGGACTTGAAGTGGGTTGCATCAATGGCCCTGGTCTTGCACTATACTCTACCCAGGTCCTCCATTGCCTTGGCCCCATACCTCTTGACTCTGGCTTGGCTGCATGCCTTGCTTTGTCAAACGGGATGTGGGTGTGGGGACAGTGTGCAGGTCTGAGTCTAGGTCTGAAGAGGGCTTGTGAGTTGCCATTCTCTTTCTTGGCGTCACTTCGAGGAGAATGTTCTTTGTCTTTGCTGGGCCTTCAGGCCAGGCCCCAGAATAAATGCATAGGGATTGCAGTTACCTTAGCCCACATGGCAAGCCTGTGGGTTGAGGCACAGCAACCCAGCACTGCCTCACCTAGAGCATCCAAGTTTATCTGAGTTTCAGATCAGTAACGATCCATGACCTTTCCCTTTAGCCACCGAGTGTGGACATGTGTGGGGACCCATTCTTTCAGGGTCAATGGCCAAGTGGGTATGAGTTAGCCTAATGCTTCTGACCTCTTCCCATCACCTCATTTCTTCTCTTTTACTGAGGGATTACCTGACGGTTGAGTTTAGAAGAAGAAATCAGAGACACATTTCTCCCTCCATTATTCTTGGGTGCATGGAGCTCTCAGGGATATGTGTTCCACTCTACTTCTTAAGGTAAGTTTTCACAGAGTGCAATAAACACACACACACACACACACACACACACACAGTATGTAGTGAGATCTGTTCCAGTTTGAGATGGTCATGCTGAGTGGGTAAGTTACTTAAATTATTTCAAGTTTTGAGGGCACCTGGGTGGTTCATTCAGTTGAGCGTCTGACTCTTGATTTGGCTCAGGTAAAGCTCTCATTCTTTGTGAGATCCAGCCCTGCCTTGGGCTCTGCTCTGACAGTGCGAAGACTGCTTGGGATCCTCTCTCTCTCCCTTCCTCTCTCCCTCTCTCTTCCCCTCCCCAGCTCTTGCTCGCTGTCCCTGAGTGGAGTTCCTGGGTGGCTCAGTTGGTTAAGCATCCGATTTCAGCTCAGGTCATGATCTTGAGGTTCATAAGTCCGAGCCCCACATCAGGCTCTTTGTTGACAGCTCAGAGCCTAATGCCTGTTTTGGATTCTGCGTCACCTCTCTCTCTCTGCCCCTCCCCTGCTCATGCTTGCTCACTCTCTCTCTCTCTCTCTCTCTCTCTGTCAAAATAAGTAAACATTAAAAAAAATTAAAAAAAAATTGAGATTCTGTACCAGCCAGCTCATAGGAACACAAATATAAGCATTATCATTATTATTAACTTTATTAGTAAAAAAAAAAAATTGGTATTTTAGACTCCTCTTCCTTATCTTTGTCCTCAATTTGTTCAGATGTAAGGAGAGAAAGAGGAATGTGAATCACTGAGCATTTTCAAATCCTAATGTGGGCCAGATGGACTGGGACAGATGTTCCATGCACTAAGCTTAATGGTCAAGCTTCCATGGTGTTGGTGATGGCAGTGTGAAGTCTGGAGATTGACTTTATTTCACTGGGTGCATTAGTCCATGGGTTTTGAGAAATAGGCCGTGATAAATTAATTAAGGTATGCATATATGCTTAAACACTTACAGAGCACTTGTGGGCCTCACATATATGAACTCACTTAGTCCTTATAACAACACTATATCATAACATTGTCAGACTGTTACCCTCATTGTAATGATGAAGAATTTGAAGCATAGTGAAGGGGAATAAGTTGCCCAAGGTCACATTCTTAGTAAAGGGCGGAGCAAGGATTCCAACCCTCGGCCTATGTCTCTAATATTAATATTTT